AGCAGTCTGTTTTCCAGGGAGTTCGTGATTTGGCTGGCAGCCGGCAGTTTTCTCTGAGTTCAGGCGTCTCCTTGTTTCCTTATTTGATGAGATGCTTGCCCCCTCCCTGTGCCTCTGACAGTCTGCCTCAGCAAAGGATGCACCCCAGAACGGAAGTTCAGAGTCTGGGGGGCAGGGAGGGGATGGTGACTTCAGCACCCCTGGGCTCGCCCTTGCAGAGGGGTGGTGACAAGCCAGTGTCAGTGTTTGACACTGCTCAGGACATCAGGTACCTGGGTTTGAGTCCCGGCTGCACTCTTGGAGGTAACAGGCGGGGGCTCAAGTCCTTGGGTGGGGTCCCCTGGTTGTGGCCTGGCCAGCCCCTGCTGTGGTGGCAACTGGGGAGAGAACCAGCAAGAAAAGAGATCCCCACGAGTCTCTTTATATCTGCTGTTTAAATCAACAGCACTGTTGATCAACTCTCAGGGGCAGTAACAGTTGGGAGTGTGTCTGGAGGATGGGGAGCTGGCGGTAGACACCATGGGGGAGCAGGGTGCTGGGCCTGGGTCTCTGTGCTGTACTGGAGGCAGGGGGGCTCTGGGCAGGTCCCTTGCCTGCGCAGGGTTGCAGATGCCGGCACTGGGGGCAGGCCCACCCCAACCTCTTCTGGAAGGCGGGAAGCCTGGAGCAGGGCTGGGCGACACTGGGTGAATGCATCTTCTCAGGTAGAACAGCGGGAGGCTGAGGCGCTTTGCAGGGGAGGTCTCTGCAGCCACTGGCTGACCCCTTGTGGCTGGGGGTAACTCCAGGGTCCCCAGGCTGGACTCTGTCACAGCCTCGGGCTCCGTCCTGGCCCCAGCCACCCCGGAGGTGGTCAGCTCTGCAGGGGGACACCCAGTCTCCAGCTCAGGGGCACTCAGGGCAGCTGCAGGGCCCTGGCCTGTCTGGAGGGGCAGGGAGGTTGGCCATCAGAGCACAGCATTGTCCATCGGGTGCTGCTGCCAGAGGGATGCCTAGAGTGGGTCTATCAGTGCCAGCTGTGAGTCTGATGCCTTGGGGAGCAGGGACTTCCTGCCAGGGATCTGTGTGCCCAGGCTGTTCTCAGTCAGACCCAGTCATGGCCCCACAGGGACCTGAGTCTGCCCCCTCTATGTCCAGTCATGGTGTGGCTGGGATGCTGCCCTGCTTCCTACAGCTCACAGGCAAAGAACTTCATACGCTGCTGCACGGTCCAGCGCCATCTGGTCACCCCACCGTGGTGCCCTGTGGTCTTCCCAGGGGTATCCGTGGGAGTTGGCGTGTGGAGGGCAGGATGTCTGTGTGCTGGCCGGGGGCACTGTAAGCATCCTGTGCTGGTGTGGATTGGGGGCCCCGCTCACATGCCCCCAGAGGACCAGCCATACTCCCCTGGTTTCCATGGTGACGCAAGCCTCCCCTTTCGACTGCTCTCAGGAGGGATTATAAATTGATGATTTCCCTCCTGGGTCCATGTCTGCCTCGCTGTGCTTCCAGATTCTGGTGTCTTGGTGAGCTGCTGCTGGTTATGGATCAAGAGGAAAAAGAAGGAATGAGTCACAGCCAAGCATTCCTGAGGGTGGCCCTGGTCACGGGGAGCTGGCACCGCTGCAGGCCCCTGAGGCTGGCCCTGGTCACGGGGAGCTGGCACCGCTGTGGGCCCCTGAGGCTGGCCCTGGTCACGGGGAGCTGGCACCGCTGCAGGCCCCTGAGGCTGGCCCTGGTCACGGGGAGCTGGCACCGCTGCAGGCCCCTGAGGCTGGCCCTGGTCACGGGGAGCTGGCACTGCTGTGGGCCGCTGAGGGTGGCCCTGGTCACGGGGCCTCTTGGGGCCTGCGCTTCATGCTTCTGTCAGTAGTAGGTGAGCCGAGCTGCCGGGCATCCACAGAGCCGAGGGACCCAGAGCCTGGCCCAGGGCCTCAGCTGCCTGTGGGTCCCTGTGCATGGCCAGCTGCTGTGTGCACCAGCCTTTCCGTCCCTGAGCCGCAGCCTGCACACCTGTGAGCCGGCTGTGGTGATGGTGACGCACTTGTGTGCCGGCAGAGCGTGTGGGGCTGGCCACAGCAGTGGGCCCACTGTGGAAGGTGGCGTGGATGGCCACAGCTGAGTGTATGTGCGGCTGGCCTGGGGCTCTGGGCCTCGTGGGCCAGGGGTAAAGCAAGCACACGTGCCTTTTGTTGCAGAATCTGCCAGTGAGGGTTAGTTTGCTGTAGACACACATGTGTGGATACACACACAGCATCCTCCTTGGATGTCCAGAGGCGGGGCTCTTTCTCTCTCTCTGTCTGTCTGTCTCTCTCTCTCACACACACTCACACACACACACATATACACACACAACGTCCTCCCTGGGTGTCCAGAGGCGGGGTTCTCTCTCTCTGTCTGTCTGTCTCTCTCTCTCACACACACTCACACACACACACACATAAACACACACAGTGTCCTCCCTGGGTGTCCAGAGGCGGGGTTCTCTCTCTCTGTCTGTCTGTCTCTCTCTCTCACACACACTCACACACACACACACATAAACACACACGGTGTCCTCCCTGGGTGTCCAGAGGCGGGGTTCTCTCTCTCTGTCTGTCTGTCTCTCTCTTTCTCTCTCTCTCTCACACACACACACACTGCGTCCTCCCTGGATGTCCAGAGGCGAGGCTCTCTCTGTCTCTCTCTCTCTCTGTCTCTGTCTGTCTGTCTCTCTCTCTCTCTCTCACACACACACACACACACACTGCGTCCTCCCTGGATGTCCAGAGGCGAGGCTCTCTCTGTCTCTCTCACACACACATCTTACTCTCTGGGTGTCCTGACGATGGAGTCTGTCTCTCTCGCACTGCGATGTGGGGTGCCGACACTCCTTGTGGCATCTTAGCAACCGTGCCAAACACCCATACCCACGGACACACATTCGGAAGTCGCTGTGAGAAATGAGCAATTAAGTGAGAAATTAAGCAACTGAGGCTCAGGGTGCCTGCAGCCCTCTGGGGGTCCCAGCCCACAGCCTATCTGGGGGTCCCAGACTATAGCCTGTCTCGGGGTCAGGGTGCCCACAACCTGTCTCGGGGTCCCAGCCTGCAACCTGTCTCGGGGTCCCAAAACAGCCCATCTCGGGGTTGCAGCCCATCTTGTTTCCCAGCACACAGCTTGTCTCAGGGTCTCAGCCCGCAGTCCGTCTTGGGGCCCCAGCCCACAGCCCATCTCAGGGTCCCAGCCCGCAGTCCGTCTTGGGGCCCCAGCACACAGCCCGTCTCAGGGTCCCAGCCCACAGCCTCCCCTGGGGCCATCTTTGCCAGAGCGAGCTTGGGCTAGATGGGGGGTGCTGGCACCTGCTCATGGTGGCTGCACTGTGGCCCTGAGCTACAAGCTGGTCAGGAAGACCACATGGAAAGGGCCCCAGGCTGGAGCTGTCAGGGAATGTGAAATGCGCTCTGGACAGTAGGCTGGGGACAGAGGGGGCCTGTTATGATGCCATGCTGCAGGCACCCCAGCCGCTCTGTGTTGGGCACGGAGCTGGAGGAAGCCACACACCAGGGAGTGTCTGCTGGCCAGCTATGAGGACACATCCCCGGGGGGCAGGGAACCAGGGAGGAGTGGGAGGGGAAAGGGTACCCAGCTCCTGCCTGCTTCAGAAAGGGCCCCACCCGAGCTGGAGACACCCCAAGGGCTTCCTGGAAGAGGTGACACATGGGCAGGACCCGGGAGAAGGGTTACCAGCTGGGGGTGCTGGAGGGAGGGGTCCCAGGCGTCCAGGGTTTATCCTGAGGCTGCCACTGGGGACAACGGCTGTGGGTCTATGGGGGACCAGCGGAATGCTGCCTCAGTGTCAGGCCCCACTGCCAGGAGCGCTTATGTTTCTCAGGTCCCTGGGGTGCTGTGAGCAAGGCCATAGCCAGAGGTGGGGGGCTATAGCCAGGGTCAGCCTTGGCCATGAGCGGCGCATGCTGGGGTGGCTGTGTCAGCCAACTGCACACGTGCACACACACGCTCACACATGTGACAGTCCGCACACACGCTCACACACACGTGCACGGCTCTCTGTCTGCTGAGGCCTGGCCCTCCTCCTGCCTTCCTGTCCCCGCAGGATCCCCCTGCTCCAGGGAGTGGCTCTGTTCCTGGGCATGGCAGAGCCGGTCTCAGCACAGTGAAAGAGCCTCACTTGGTTTTGTGTCATCTCTGCCTCTTCATGCTCGCCGCGCAGACTGGCTGCTGGTTTCCCCACTTGTCCTAATCACAGGGAAGGGGAGAGGGTGGAGCGGTCCCAGGCCTGGGCGCAAAGTTTGCAGAGTGAGCCCTCGGGCGGGGTGGGGGGCTGCCAGCGCTGTGGCCCCAAGTTAACCAGGCATAGGCCACACCCGCCTGGGGATTCCCATGGCAGCAGGAGTGTCAGGCCAGCTACGGGGACCAGGGGCCAGTGATGTGTAGTCTGATAGAGGCGCCGGCGCTTGTGGCCACGGGGCGGTGGGCTGCACCACTCTCCTTCCCGCCAGGGCTGCAGGTGCGTCCCTGACGGTCAGCCAGGCCCACTCCGCCGCCTCTGCATGTCCTGTGTGCTTCCCCAGCGGCCGTGGGGCTGACACAGCGATGGCTCGGTCAGGCAGGCCCCGAGAGTGTGGTGGGCAGCCCGTGGGGGGTACAGGGGTGTGTCCTGCCAGGGCCTCGAGCCTCCTCACTCTGAGTCCTGCTCTCCTGAGGACACGAGTGACAGCTCAGCTCTTGTCTCGGCTGGGGTAGACGGCCCCCTCCTCAGGTGCCTGGCCAGACACCCCAGGCACTGGCACAGGGCCCACTGGCTTTGCTGTTCCTGGGCCACCTTTGCCAAATGACCAGTTCGGCACTGGATTGGAGTGATTCCCGCCAGATGGCAGCTGTAGCAGAACCTCACGGAGTGCCCCACCCCCACTTGCAAGCAGCGGTTCCTTAGGGGACTGTCCTCATGGGTGTCCCTCTCGGCGAGCCCCGAAGTCGGCCTGCTGACCTCTGCCTTTTCCTGCCCTCTGACCCCACAGGTGATCTTGATTCTGACGAAGTACTACCACGCAGACATGGGGAAGGTTCTGGAAAGTTCTCTGTGGCGGTGAGTCAGCCCACTGTGGGCCTTTCTCTGTCCCTACCCCCACGAGCACCACGGCTTCTCTGTGTCGGGGTCCTTCCCGGTGTGACCTGGGTGTGGTCCGAGGCTGCTGGGGACCTCGCAGAGGAGGGGACGTGGGTGGTAAGTGGAGGGGCCGTGGCCCTGTCTTGAGCAGCCCTGGCCTCTCACCCGTGGAACAACCTGGTGCTGCTGAGCGGAGTGTCAGCCCATCTCCGTCGTGCGGGTTCTTTGCCCGTCCCTGCCCCCATTCCCGTACCCACCTGGCCTGGCTTTGCTCACAGCACTGGCAGGGCCCGAGTCAGCTCAGCAGGGCTACAGCCCTTCCCCGCTGCCTGAGCCTGTGTCTCCACTTCACACCTCATCTGTCCTCATGGCTGGGCACCTGGCCTGTGCCAAGCCGGAGGGGGCAGGCTCCTGGCTCCCTGCAGGGGCACGCAGACCCTCCGAGCAGTGCCCTGTGTTGGCAGCAGGTGCTGCTGGAGCGAAGGAGGGACTGTGCGTGGAAGGGGGCAGTGTCCATGTCTGAGCAGTGCCTGCGTCTGGGCAGTGTCTGTGTATGGTTAGTGCCTGTCCGTGTCCGGGTAGTGCCTGGGTCTGGGCAGTGTCTGTGCATGGTTAGTGCCTGTCTGTGTCCGGGTAGAGCCCGCGTCTGGGCAGTGCCCGCATCTGGGCAGTGTCTGTGCATGGATAGTGCCTGTCTGTGTCCGGGTAGTGCCCGGCTCTGGGCAGTGCCCGCGTCTGGGCAGTGTCTGTGTATGGTTAGTGCCTGTCTGTGTCTGGGTAGTACCCGCGTCTGGGCAGTGTCTGTGTATGGTTAGTGCCTGTCTGTGTCCGGGTAGTGCCCGGGTCTGGGCAGTGGTGTTCCTCAACTATTTCTGCGCCCTGTGCTTTAATGTGTGCCTGCTGTATACAGGGTTTTCTGCCCCCAGGAAGGTGGATGTTGCTCTCTTGGGAGTACTGTTTGTTGTCTCCCAGCTGCAAAGCGTCTGGCCCAGAGCTGAAATTCTCATGTTTCCAGGGCACAAAGCTCCCTGGGATCTGGTGGGAAGGCAGGTTCTGGCCCTCAGATCCGGAGCCCGACACTGCATTCTGATGGGCTAGCTCCAAGAGGACCGGATGAGGCCAGTCTGTGACCCCACTTGGAGGAACAAGCCTGGTGGTCTGTCAGGCCTCACCCCTGACCTTCATGTCCCCTTGCTCAGGCCAGGGCCACTAGGAGGCCCCCTGACAGTTGGGTCCCCAGTGGCCAGTGAGGCCCAGGCCTGCTCTCGGGAAGTCCGGGGGGCTGGTGCGCAGTAGCAGGGTCCCTGGCAAAGGTACACCAGAGTCGCTTGGAAAAACCCACCTCAGGGCTGAGTTGTGGCACAGTTCGTTATGCTGCCGCCCCTGCTGCCAGCATCCCATGTGGTGCACAGGTTCAAGTCCTGGCTGCTGTGCTGTCACCTGGAGCAGCAGATGATGGCCACCCAGGCCATCCGGTGGAGTTTGTGGCTCTCTTGGCTGTGACCAGCCCGGCCATCTAGGGAGTGAACCAGTGGCTGGGAGAGCTGCCTCGTTCTGTCATGCTGCCTTTCAGGTAACTGAACCTCGAGAAGGGAGGATGGCAGGAAGGTGGAGCTCCCTGGGAGACCAGGGGGAGATGGGCTCCATGGTCCCCAAAGCCTCCAGGTGCCCTGCCAACTGGAAGCAGTCTGGAGGGAGCCTGGGACTCTGCCGTTCTGATGGGGAGCTGTGAGGTTGCTGGTCTGCATACTGCGCTCTGAGTGCCTGAGATGGGGCTGGTTAGGGATGTAGCAGAGGAACAGGTGCTCAGGCCACAGCCCCCGCTAGCCCAGTGCCCCCTGGTGCTCCCTCCTGCCAGCCCAGAGTCCCCTGGTGCTCCCTCCTGCCAGCCCGGTCCCCCCTGGTGCTCCCTCCTGCCAGCCCAGTGCCCCCTGGTGCTCCCTCCTGCCAGCCCAGTGCTCCCTGATGCTCCCTCCTGCCAGCCCAGTGCCCCCTGGTGCTCACTCCTGCCAGCCCAGTGCCCTCTGGTGCTCCCTCCTTCCAGCCCAGTGCCCCCTGGTGCCTGCTTCTATGCCCGTCTCTGCCCCACTCATTTTCTTTGTTCCTCCTTACTGTTCAGCCTTGACCACGCCCAATCTGGCTCCTGTGTGGGTTCGTGCGTTGCTGCAGCTGCCTGCCTGGCACTGTTCGGGAACTGACCTTCACTCCTGTCCAAGGAGGCCTCCAAGATGGTCTCCATCACTCTGTCACTGATGTGCAGGAGCTCTGATTGGTGTTGGCCCACCCCCACCACTTTGCTGAAACTTACTCTGGCTGAGGACACGCATCTGTCAGGCTACCCTGGGCACTTGGGGCCCAGAGCTGACCACAGATCTGGAATAAGAGATGCATGTTGGGCACTGGGTGGGTACAGGTGGGTGGATGGACAGAGAGGCATGTGGGCAGACTGATGGTGTGGGTGGAGAGATGGATCAGGGAATGGGTGCATGGATGGATAGAGAAAGATGGGTGGGTGAATGGATGGATGGGTGGATGGATGGATGTGTGGATAGATGGATGGATGAGTGGGTGGGTGGGTGGGAGGGTGGATGGATGAATGGGTGGGTGGGTGGGTAGATAGGTGGATAGATGGATGAGTAGATAGGTGGATGGATGAATGGATGTGTGGATGGTGGATGGGTGAGTTTGTGGATGGATGTGTGGATGGATGGATGGATGGGTGGGTGGATGGATGGATGGATGAATGGATGTGTGGATGGTGGATGGGTGGATGGCCAATGAGGAATGAGTGGAAGAGCAGGCAGGTGGAGGGAAGGTGGTGTGGTCTGAGGGAAGCACTGCTGGCCTGGAAGACCCTTTGTGGGTCATTGCCTGCGCTCTGGCAGAGTAAGAGGGCTGGGAGGGTTCTGAGCTGGAGAGAAGGCTGGCACCAGCCATTTACCATGCCCCACCTCTGCAGCTGTGACGCGTGCCAAGTAGGAGTGATGTAGGGCCAGCCCTACCCCACTGTACAGCACAGCGTTATAATGCAACAGTGCTCAGGCAACATCCATTGGCTGTGGATGAACACACGTCTGCTTCCGCTGCTGTTGAACTGGTCTCAGGACCGCTGGTGGCTGGCCCGGCTGCCCTGGATGGTCTGTGTGCCACCCAGTGTCTGCAGTGAACAGCCATGGTAAGGGGCTCTGCGCAGGCCCCTCCTCCAGGCCCCAGGCTGTCTGGGAGCTCAGGCTGTCACATGCCATGTCTTCTGACTCAGATGTCCTGTATATCCTGGCCCTGTGCGTCTGCTCCGGTGGTCTCCCGGGCAGTCCTCATGCCCCCGATTCCTGCCGTTTGTCTGACCTTTTTATGACTTCCACTGCTCCATTGTGAGTGTGGCCCGGGTGCCAGGATGCCAGGGTGCTTGGCAGGTTTGGTCCCTGCCTCGTTGAGGTCTTAGAATATGGTTGTGAAGGTGGTAGCGCTGGCTTTGTGAGACAAGCCGCCCCATGCGTGGTGGTGGGTTAGTGGTGCTGATGCCGCCTCGTGCCTGGAGAGGCCGTGTTTGGGGGGCTTCACACAGGTGTGGGGTCAGACCCCCAGGCTGCTAGCTGCGGGCTCAGGTCCATCACTGGGATCTGCTCTGAGCTCTGAGCTGACAGGAGCAGGACACAGGCCAGAGAGCATGTTCCTCTTGTGTGGCGCACAGGCTGCAGTGCCCGGCTGGGCACGCAAGCATGGCCGATAGCTGATGCCCAGACGCACACACCCCGAACACTGGGCAGTGCTGAGAGTTTGCAGCCATGGTTCAATGCGAAAGCAGAGGAGGTGACCCCGAAAGCCAGGAACCTTGGAGAGTCGGCCTCACAGCCTGGGCTAGTGATGGGCGCTGTGTGGCATCCTGTGTCCAGGTGGCCTCTGGTGGAGGGTGTGTGCCCTGCTGCTTCCAGGCCTGCTCCTTGGCTGCCCTCCTGGGCAACTGGGGCTGGTCTGTAGAGGGAGCCACTACCGCCCTTGGAGCTCAGCTGGCACAGCCCTCGTGGCCCCCGTGCCCGCAGCAGGCGCTGGGGTCTTTGCCTGCCTTCCAGTGCCCACTGGGCTCGGCAGCATCTGCGTTCTCACGCCCGCGGTCTGTCTTGTTTGCTCTCTCGTCACCATGGAGACCTGAGTTTGATTTAAACAAGACGCAGAGCAGAGCAGGATGACAAAGCTTTTGTAAATAATTCCTGGTGGATCAGCCATTGGAGGAGGTCAGGCTCCGAGACAGGCGTGGGGTAACTGAGCGGTCAGGGGATCCCTAGGGCCCCAGCTCTGCTGCCGCCCCATGCGCCTGACCTTGCCTGGGTTCCTGCTCAGGGCCCTGACACCTGACCACGTGAGCCTCCGTCCTCTCTGACCTCCCTTCCCTCTCCTTTCTAACCTTTCTCTCCCACCCAGCCATCTACCCACCTGCTCACCCACACGCCCACCCAGCCATCTACACCTGCTCACCCACACGCCCACCCGGCCATCTACCCACTCACTCTTGCTTCCTCCCTTCATCTTCCCGGCTCTGCCCTGCCCATGCTGGTTGCTGCCTCCCATCTCCTCATCAACCATCTAGTCTTCAGGCCCTGGGCTGGAGTAAGCTCTGGTAACCGACACTCAGGACCCCAAGCTTTGTGGGGGACACACAGACAAGGAGACAGCCAGTGACCGTGGTGTGACGAGGCTGAGGGACCCAACCTCTGATACAGGAGGCGTAATCAGGGTAGCCTGCCTGGAGGAAGACTGATTTGGTGCCTTCCATGCTGTTCCCTCCTCATGCTACCTACCCCGCCCCAGCCTACCCAGACCACCCACCCCTACACAGCTCAGCCCCAGCCTGGCCTGCCACTCCTGACCCCTGGTGACCCTGGGAGCTGGCCCCGCAGACTCCTGAGCTGTGACGTAGTCCGTGACCATCCTCAGAGTTTGGGGAACTGTAAGATGCACGAAAACCACGCCCTGTGTCCAGCCTGCCGCCCGCGTTTAAGGCTGTTCATAGCAGATTCGTGCTCCCAGTGGTCTCTTTAAGGAACAAATATGTGCGCGGTGTCTGTGTGCAGAGCCCCGGCGGAATGAAGCGTTAGGCGTTTCTAAGCTCCTTCCTATTTGTACAGATAGTTTTTTCAGTAAAGATTTATTTTGATGTTTGAAAGGCCTAGAGACAGAAAGGTCCTCCATTTACCGTCTCACTGTACGTGCGGCTCCCACGGCCAGAGCAGGGCCAGGCAGCAGGCAGACCGCATCCAGCCCCCAGCGAGGGGGCAGCTTCCCTGAGCCTGACAATGCCGCCAGCGCTCACAGACACGATGAGGCTAAAGCACCGGGGCTTGTTAGGGGAAAGGCACTTCTTACAGGAGGCAGAGAGGCCGGAATCAAAGCTGGGACAGGCTCTGAGGCTGCAGGCGCCACGGCTAATGGGCTTCACGGCAGGTGCTCTGGGGCGAGGGCCATGGTGGGATTTTGAAGTTGCCCCGTGGCAGGCTGCCTGGCTGCCGTCAGATCTGCACATGGCTTCTAAGGACAGGCTTTTTATTAATTTTTTTTTAAAAGCTTGCGATTTCTTTTTTCGGCTTCCCCAATTAGCCCTTTTCCTGTCTGCTGCCTCAAGGTCGCAGCTAAAGGGAGAGAGGCAGGCGGATCATGGAGAAGCTGTGCAGGTTGCTTCTCTCGGCTTCCACAGTTAACCCTTCAGTGGCTCTGCCTCACTCCCACGTGAGGGGAGATGCCTGAGCCCTGTGCCATCTTCCCCAGGTGGAGGGCCTACGCCTGAGCCCTGGGGCCATCTTCCGCTGCCCTCCCAGGGGCGTTTTTGGGGAGCTGGCTGGGAATTGGAGCTGCTGGGGCGCCGTCTGGCTCTGAGTTCCGGGGTGCTGGCCTTGCAGGCGGCCTGACACTGGCCCCGCAGGGCTGTGTGTAATACCATGCAGCCTGCCCAGCCTGCTCTGCTTCCGCAGGTGGGGCTGCTTTGGGTTTCCTGTGTGCACAGGTCCCCTCACCTCTGGCCGCCTCTAGGAGAGGCCCCTGCATCCTGGACGCTGACAATGGGCAGGTGGCTATGGCAGGGCTGGCTGGGAGGGGGCAGTGTCTGGGTTCAGAACCTCAGGAACAGGAAGGCTGTGCGGGGCTGGGTGGGCACCTGCTTGTTTTTCCATCCGAGAGAGGCCTCTGACCGTGCTGGGCCAGTCATTGTCTAGTATGCAGGGGTCTGCTCTGGCTGGGCCCATGTGTGTGTGTGGCGAGGCATGACTGGGCCCGGGGCAGGGCCCGGGGCAGGGCTCTGGGCAGGAGTAGGAGCTGGCCAGGCAGAGGGTCAGGTGCAGTGGAGGAGTGGCACCCAGCCAGGCTGGCACGCAGGGCACGGTGGCATCTCAGCACTGCTGTCATGATGACCACGGTGCCAGCAGTTCCGGAGGTAAGGTGGGCATCCACGTGGGGTGTCGCAGCATGGAGGCTAGACTCCACCCGAGCTGTACTCCTCCTGGGGTTCCTGTTCTGTCTGCATCCGTGTCTCCAGGTTTTGGGAGGAAGGAAGGGGCGAGCTGAGGGAGGCGGCGCTGAGACCGGCAGGGCAGGGACAGCATCTGGGAAGACACTGCCCCTGCTGGCCTTTGGGCCAGGCTCAGTGCTGTGTGTGCCCTGCTCATGCCATACAGACACACACACTCCTGGGGACATGACCCACATGGGGACACACATGGGAACACACACAAGATGACACATACATACAGACTCGGCCGTCAGAGCCAGCCTCCTGCTTTCTTCATTAAAGCCGCACTCCTCCCTGAGCCTGCTCCTCTGGCAGGGGCCGGGGGCAGCGCAGGCAGCCCTGCTCTGACTTCTGTTAGGTAACAGCTCTTGCCTGAGCCCGTGTAGAAGCCATGTGTGCAGGCCGAGAGGCGTTCAGAGCTGTGCTGAGGCTGGGGGCATGGGTCCCGGCCCTGCCACCCCCAAGCCCTCCTCCTGAGCCAGCATGGGCATTGTGGGATCGTGGGGCTGGATGCCCAGCACTGCCCAGTCCCCATGATCCCGGGCCAGCTGGGCTGTCTCAGCAGTGCTTAGAAGGGACCTGTTCCCACCCGGGATCAGCCAAGGCAGACCTGGCAACCACCAGAGGGATCCAGGCAGTGAGTGGGTGCTGCTCTTCCTAAGTGTACCCCTTGACCCTGGATCCCACTCCTGTTTATGCTGGCTGCAGGTCCCTTGCAGGCATGGAGAGCACAGGAATGGCGCCTGACCCCAGAGGGCTCCTGGAAGCTGCGGGCCTGGGCGGGCTGGGAGGGGCCATTCCTGGGGATAGGAGGTGAGCAGGAAGAGGAGAGTGGACAATTAGTGGATGGTGAAAGGTGCCCATCCTGCCCTCAGTGCCCACATTGCTGGGCACCTACCAGGCACTCCCAACCGCTCTGCCCGCTTTGGGCACTGTGGGCTGGAGACACCTGCACCTGAGCCACAACCCTCCCCCTCTGCCTGCTTTCCTGTCTGTCTTGCTTCTGAGTTTTCCGGGCACTTGACCAGGTTCATGATGGCCACGAAGGGTCTATGGGTGGCACTGGTGGCACTGGTGGCTCTGCGAAGTGCCCTGAATATGGATGTAGGACAAACACTTTCAGGCTAGCTAATCTGGGTTTCCTGTAGAGGGGCAGGATTGAGGAGCTGTGGGCCGGGTCAGGCTGGCAGGTCTGTCCTGCTTGGGGGGTGGCCAGCCCCACCCACTGCCCTTCCAGATTGTACCACAAGTCCTGGGCTACCCCTACTCCAAAGAAGACCTGAAACCCCAAAGAAACAGGGCTGGACTCTGCCTCTGGCTCAAGGCTCCTCCCCCTTGAGCCACACCCTCCTGGCCCAGGCCGGAGCCCAGGCCTCTGGCCACTGCCCCAGGATGGCACCCAAGTCATGGCCAGAATGTGTGTGACAGGAGAGGTGGGGAGGGGTGTGCCCATCTGCCTGGGTCAACCGGCCCTGAGACAAAGCCCTCTGGCCCACCCACGCAGGGTGCTGCCTCCACGGGGTCTGTGCTCTGTGTGCTGGGAGGGCTCTCCTGGATCCCTCGGGCTGGCTGCTGCCTGGGCTGGACAGACCTGCTCTGCCGTCCCTGCCTCTCCCAGAAACCTGCCCCAGTCCCCCATGGCTCTTGCACTGCGTGGGAGGCAGCCAAGGGCTGGGAGAGGGGGTGCTCCTGGGGCCCGTGTGTGTGTGTATTGCTGGGACCCAGGGCCCCACCAGCCCCAGGAGGAGGAGGGGGGCTGGGCAGTGCCAGGTATGCTGTTTCATGGCCAGGATGAGGGGCCTGTGTGTGAGTAGCTGGCACTGGGCTGGCATGCTCTGTGGAGACCCTGCTGTGGTAGCTTTGGACTAGGGAAGGGCCCGGGGGCAGGAGTGGCATCGCAGGGTTGAGGGTCCTACAAGGAAGCCCAGCAGCAGTGGGGGAACCTCTGAGGTGACCCCTGGGGAGGCTGGGTGGGTTCTGGGTCGAGTGTGGCATCTCTGAGGCTTCTGTGTTTCCTGTCACCTGGAGTTGCACTTCCACGCCAGTCTTGTCTCACCCCGGGCACCTTGTAGATTGCGTGGTCTTCAGACCATCCTGACACAGTCACGTGGGGCCAGCCAACGTGAGGAGTCAGTAAACTTGGACTGGGGGTGTCCGTAGGCCCAGGTTGATGGCTGGAGCCCAGGAGCTGAGCTGTGGCCCCTTGGCAAGAGTCTTCCATCCCACTGTGCACCGAGCCAGGCCTGGGAGGGTCTCCCCGGCAGGCCTGCCCTCCCAGCCACCCCTGACGTGGGGGGCTCACACATGTGTAGCCCCTGAGCCTGCGCTGGCACAAGCTTACAGCAGGCGTCACACTCGGGGCCTCCCCACAGAAAGACCGCACTGCATGAGAGGTGGCCATAGCCAGCAGCTACAGCAGACCGGGTCTCAGGGGACTCGGGAGGCTGGGTGGCACAGCCTCTCACTAAGAAAAAGCAAGGCAGACGCACTGGGAGAAGCCAGTTTATAAGTGCTGGTACCAGAAGTGCGTGGGGAGGGGCGGTCCCAGGGGCTTCTGGAGTCATCCCCACTGCCCTGGGAGACGCATGCGCGCCTCCTATTCCACAGATGGAAAAGCTGAGGCTCTGGCTCTCCTAGTCCCCCACCCATCCCCTGGGTTATCCCCAAGGCTCCCACGGGCACCTGACTGCTCCGTGTCAGGTCCCCGAGTCTGTGTGGCAGTTAGGCGGGATTCGGGGTGCCCCCAGGGTGGGCTGAGACAGTCCAGGCCTGCTCTGAAGCCTGAACCCCGGAAAAGTGCGGAGGTACCCACATCCTAGAGCACCTCGGGGTGGGTGGGTGGCAGCCCGGGGACCCCGGGGGATGGAGCTCTGAGCTCTCGGTCCAGCGGTGTGAAGATGCCCGAAGGTTTCTGTGTTGGCGTTCAAGAGGCTGTCTTGGCTGGGGTGCACACGGGCGAGATCCCGGCCTTCAAAGACAGGAGCGGCAAAGCTGCGCGGCCCCACGCATCCGACGGCACAGAGATCTTCAGGTTGGAGCCTCAGGTTCTCATCTGTGAAATGGGCACGGGTCCATGGTCCTAGGGGTCCCTGTACATGCTGGGCGTTGGGCGCTTCCCTGTGGAGAAGGGTGCCTTCCTCCACACGAGGCGCTCGCAGTGCCGTGTGGCATTGCACATTTCTGCTGCTTCAAGGCTCCTGCACCAAAAGCGGGGGCCCAGCACACACTGGTCGGTGCCGAGCAGCGGGGCCCTGGGGGCGTGGCAGGCTCCCAGCTGGTTGCACACGGCCACGGGGTCCATTACGGCCTTGAGGCTCTGCAGGAAGACGGGCTGGTACTGCGTGACGAAGCGGTTGCACTGCAGTGTGTAGGGCAGTGGCAGGATGCTGCAGCCGCCCTTGAAGGCCATGAGGATGTCACGCTGCGTGCTCCGCAGCTCCAGGTTCTGGGCGCTCACTCTCAGCAGCCGCCTGCACCCCCTGCAGAAGCTTCCCTGGCCCTCCTCCTCTTCCTCTCTGCGTGGTGACAGGGACAGGGTGGCTCGGACCCACCGGTGTCGGGTGCATAGCCGGATGGCCGTGCATACCCTCTCCGGGGTGATTCCGGCCACCAGCTGCACCAGGGAGGGGCTGTAGTTGTCCACGAAGGTGACACACTGCTGGACCATGGAGGAGGGCAGCAGAAGGCACATCCGCTCCAGGGCGTGCCTGATGGCGGCCTCGGTGTTGTTGGATAGGAGCCAGTGGTCCAGCTCTTGGACCACGTCCTGGCACACCTCGCAGGTCAGGCCAGCTACCATCTGCACCTCGCTCTTCATGCTGGGCAGCACCAGCTCCAGGGAGGGGTCCCCTTGAGCCAGTGGTGATGGGGCAGGTCCGCTCAGGTCCTCGCAGAAGCCCCCGGTTTGGCAGACAGCCCGTGGCGGTAGGAGCTTCAGGGCCTGCTCAGCGGGGATGAGGACTTGGTGGAGGTAGTTCCGGCACAGGGGCCCCAGGCCAGGACCCAGGGGCTCACACTGCCCCGGGGCGTCCACCTCCGCCAGTGACAGGTTGGCCCTGAGTGTGTCCCGCAGCCGGGAGACCAGCTGGATGCAGTCTTGGCACACAGTGCCCCCACGTACCTGTGGCGGGTGGAACCTGAGAGCTCCATTGGCCGGGAATGGAGCCACCAGCTCGGCTGCTGCCTCCTTGGGGAGCGGCCCCGGGGCAGCCAGGTGCCTCTGCAGCGGCTCGCAGAGGACGAGCCCGGCACACACCTGTGCCGGGGTTGCGGCAGGGGCCCCGTCGAGCATGCTCAGGACAGCCGAGCCGTGGGTCTTCACCATCTGCTTGCAGCTGTCTGAAGACTCCTGGCTGCGAAGCCACTCACAGGTCTTTGTCATCGAAGCCAGGATGTCGGCCCCTGTGGGCTCGGGTTCCAGCCCACCGGTGGTGGCAGCCACCACAGCCTGACATACAGTGCATGGCAGCGACTTGGCCAAGGGCTTGTTCCAGACGGTGCTTCGGCAGTGTCCCACGGCCCCACAGCTGACTGCTGTGTGCAGGTCCCGGCACCACACGGCAGAGCCCTGGGCACATTGAGGGGAGCCCACAGTGGGGCTGCCTATGGCAGCCGTGAGCAGGCTGGGCAGGAGGAGCAGGGCACAGAGCATGCTGCCCGGGGACCCGGCAACTTGGGTGCTGTGCCCGCAGGAGGCGGGCTCCTGCTATAAACCCCACTGCTGCCCAGGCAGGCGCGGCTGGGTGCCCCGCCTCCCGGTTCCTCCAGTTCCTCCCTCCGTCCTGGCCCCCGGCCCGCCCCCACCCAGTCTCGGCCTCCTTGCCTGCCAGCACCGCCCTGCCCGCTCTTGCACTGCATGAAGTCTCACTAGATCATCAAAGCCTGCCAAGTGTCTAGCTGTCACTCAGCTCCCCGGCCCTCCCCCACGAAGTGCTTCTGGACCCTTTGCCTGGGTCCCTGGTCCTCCCTGGGCTGTGGGGGATTCTGGGGTACCCTGCCTGTCACTCCCTGTCCCCCGGGAGGGTTCTGCTGGTCACCCCTGGTCTTTGCCGCAGGAGTGGGTGAACACAGACTCGAAGCTGTAAGTTCCTAACTCGGCCCTCCCAGCTCCCTACTTTCTGAGTGGATCCTGAGGCTGGTCGACAGGGGGGCTGTGCCGTGCAGGGGAGGGGGGCTCAGGCAGCTGCTTGAAGGTCAAGTTCCCAGCCCCACCAGTGTCTTTGTTGGGGACCACTCCCATCGCAGCGAGCGAGCATGGGCTGGTCACGAGTGGGTGGCATGTCAGGCATTTGTTCCTTCCCATGTCACTTGTTGTTTTTCTTCTCCTTACTTAGTTTTTGAATTGGTTGTTGGGCAAGAGCTGCTGGGCCGCGACGGGTAGGTGTCCGCAGCAGCTGCATGCCACGGGTGCTGGGAGAGTCCAGATCGGCCTCGCCTCTACCTGCTGCTACAGGGCCCTCCTGGTGGGAGGGGACAGGATGGATGGGGGCCCCACTGGTTCCCCCAGAATCCCCTGCATGCCTGGGAGGGTGTGAACCACGCGTGGGTGTTCTCGGGCAGTCCCCGTCTCTCTGTCCAGCAGGAATACGCGGCCAGCCATGTGTGTGGTCAGGCAGCCAGGGCTTCCGCTGGCCTGCTGGTGTGGGGAGAATGTAGAGAATTGGGGTGTCTGACCTCTTGGGAGCCTTCCGGACATTTTGGTTCTTGGGTCCCGGTCAGGGGCCAGCAATGGGTCTGGGCTGTCCCGGCTGCTCTCCATTTCCTGCACACAGGTGGGGCTCTGGCAGGATCCCTGCCACACACTGACTGCCTACCTGTCTGCTGTCAGCACAGCTTGGGTGCTGGCCCCGTGGTGGGAATGGTGGGAATGAATGGCCCCTCCTGGTCCTTCCAACATGCTGTCCTGGGCGTCCCCCCGATGGCCTCCTAGGCCAGCACCTTCCTGGTCCCCCCGCCAGCAGGTGAGGACCCTCTGTGTCCTGGTAGCTTTGGTTTGGGGTGGGGTGGGGTGTTCTGACCCGGGGTACACATGGGTTGCACGGAAACCCCCTTCCCCCAGCTGCCCGCTCATATCCCCAGTGGCCCTTCTCAGGTTCCTGGTCCCCACTTCTCACACTTGGGGTTTGCTGGAACAGCTGTCTCATCATCAGAGACTGCATGGGAGCTGCCAGCATGGGAGAGCCCAGGGCAGGGCCTGGGAGGTTGCCTCCCCTGGTTCACCAGCCCAGAGCCCAGCCATCTGCAAATTCTTCGTTCAGCACCCCTCTCCCTCCCGGGAAGGGCTGGGGCGACGGTCCCTGCAACTGGGGCCTCCGTGGCCTGAGCTTGGGCGCGTCTGAAGGCTGCTGGTGGGGGAGGGGTCAGGGTCTGCTCATCCTGCTGGGACTTGGGGTGAAGCCGGATGCTCAGGTTTTCTATCAGGGCCAGGAGACAACTGCATTTTATTTTAATTCCTCTTTTCTGGAAAGATCTGGAAGAGTTAGAGAGAGGCAAATATTCCATCCACTGGTTCACAATGCAGATGGTGGGTGTGATGGCTGGAGAAGGACCAGTTCCAAGCTGGAGCCTTCCTCAGGGTCCCCTGTGAGTGGTCAGGGGCTGTCATCCACTGCTTTCCCAGGCACTTAGGCAGGGAGCTGGATCGGCAGTGAAGTAGCCTGGACTCGAACTGGTGCCCATGTGGGATGCCAGCACCACATGTGGCGTCTTCGTCGGCTACCCCACGGCGCCGGCCCCTGATCTGTATTTCTAGCCTGGGAAGGAAGGTGAAGCTGTGCTGGGGACTCTGCCCAGTGTGCCATGCCGTCTCCAGCCCTGCCGTCTATCCATCTGCACACAGCTGTGTGTGCCGCTTGTCTGTTCTTATCCCCTGGGGACAGGCTGGTCCTGTGCCCAGGTCCTTCCCCAACCCAGCAGGAGTTGGAATGTCCAGCCACACACTTGTGCAAGGCCCCCACTGCCCTCCCAGGTCCAGCTCAAGGGCTGCTTCCCTCCTGCTGCCCGTGAGGGTCTTCCCTGGTCTGTCCAACCCCACCTCTGCATACCCCTGTGGAGCCTGGGCCAAGTGTGCTGTGTGACATCTCCCAGCTGGGGGCTGCCTGGCGTGTCCCCCACCCCAGGGCACTTGCCCCCACAGCAGTGGGCTCCCCTCACAGGGCCAGAGCCTTTCCCTGGCGGTCAGCAGGGGACATGCGTGGATGAGCGAGCATCCTCTGCCCCTTGCCCTTCCTCTCCTGTCATCTCCATTTTCAGAAGAAGCCCGTGTCTTTTCATCGCTATGACTTAAGTCATTTCTCATGATGCTTACTGTGTTGCTGTTTGTGGTGCCGCTCCTAGGGGTGAGGGCTGTGGGAGCTGGCTGCAGCTCCACAACCCCCCGTCCTCCTGGTCTGTGAGCCTCTCTGTGGGTTCTGCCACAATATTTGGTGTCGGCTAGCCTTGTGCCCTGGAGATGCACCTGTGCCCTGGGAGGCTGCTCTCAGGAACCAAGGCCTGGGCACAGTGCTCCTGCGGCCGCTGTCTGGGCCTGGCCGTGCTCGCCCCCTGCCCCGTGAGCAGAGCTGACAGGAAGGCAGGAGGCAAGGTCACACATGTCGGGGGAGGGGTGTGTGTGTGTGTGTGTGTGTGTGTGTGTGTGTGTGTGTGTGTGTGTGTGTGTGTGTGTGTGTGTGTGTGTGTGTGTGTGTGTGTGTGTGTGTGTGTGTGTGTGTGTGTGTGTGTGTGTGTGGTGTGTGTGTGTGTGTGTGTGTGTGTGTGTGTGTGTGTGTGTGTGTGAGCTGCTCGCACAGCACACCTGAGGCCGGTCACTTCCACAGGCGGGAGTGTGCCTTGTACAGGTGAGGGCCCTGCAGCCATCTCAGTCCAGGGGCTGGCAAGACAGGATAGGTGGGAGTGTGAGGCAGGGCCAGCCATGATCACCCAGAGACCTGTCACCTCCCAATAGCCCCACGCTGGTGACAAACTCCCAACACTCTGAAGCCCGGACGTGGTGTGTTGCCTGCGTAGCCACATCTGAGCTGGCATGTGCCCATTCTGGAGTGGGTCAGTAGTGTGGACTGGAGTCTCCAGCAGGCGGATTCATGCCAGCGTTCTGCCTTCCAGTGTGTGTGATGCGTCTGCCTGGGTGGGAAGTTGGGCCCCCATGGGCCTCCTGGATGCCCCTCCCTGGCTGAGCCCTGAAGCAGGTGTTGCAAAACGCTGTCTCCTGGCACTGTCAGCTGGAAAGGCTGCCAACTGTACTTCTCTCTCACTCTCACCCTCCTGATGGGGCAAAATTTGAATATAGCAGAAGGCCTGCCTCTGTAGGTGTGGTGCTGTGGCAGTTGGCATCTTCCACGTGTGCTGGATTGATAGGGCGACGTGGAGCCCTCGGGTTGCTGCGGGCCACTCGACGGTGGGAGCAGGCAGGGTTTCCTACCCCTGTCCTTGAGTTTGTGGGACCCACTAGTGTGTTCTTGCATCCGTGCCAGCTTGTTCCTATCCTGTGAGCACCCTGCCTCCCAGGCCATCTGGCTGGCGTGTGCGGGGGGAGTCTAGGATGGGGGCGTGGTCACAGGCGAGGTGTTTATCCACATGCGTGAATGCTGGCTGGTTTCCAGCTGGGATTGAGCAACCCTTGCTGGGGAATGGGGTGTGGCTGACAGAATGTCTCTCTACCTGGAGCTCAGGTGGGGGCAGGGTTGCTGGGCATGTGGGTTATGGCTCTGAGCAGACCCCCAAGACTGCCCAAGGTGGACACTCACTGCACTGCCGCCCCAGCCAGGGTGCTGGGTGCTCCTGGCTGGCTCTGCCTTGTGATCTAGAGAAAGTGCCAGCGCAGCCTTCACTCGCCATCCTTACACTCACAGACCACAGCACTTGCCCAAGTTCAGTTCTAACACCGATCCGTTTGTGAGGAACTGTGGGAGCAGCTCGCTGTTCTGCCTGTGTCAAGGCAAGGTTGGCCTCGGGGCAGTGAAGGGAGGGTGGCAGGGGCTGCTTGGCTGGTGGGAGCCCTGGCCTGCGGGTTGCTCCCAGGGGTACTGTGTGAGGAGGGCGCCAGAGTGCTCCTTCCTTCTCTTGTGCCAACTCTTGGGTGCGTGGGTGGGAAGGCGTGGTGCCCACTGATGGGCTCTGGGAGGCTGACCCCCAGCCCCAGCCTGTGGCGTGCCGACTCTGTGTTCCAGGCCAGCTTGTTTGTCCTCACACCTGTCACGGCCCACACGCTCCCTGTCCCCTCTGTCCTTCTCTCTGCCCTTTTGGCTCTTTCCAGTCCTGCACCCCCCGCCCTCCCCAGCTCCTCCTGTGCAGGTGTGTGTTTCCTAGGCACTGCTGGGAGCTGGCTCGTGGAGGAAGAGGCAGACAAGGGAAAAGTGTGGGAGGCCTGGAGGATCAAGAGTGACAGGGAGGGACTGGGACATGACAGGAGACAGGTGCACCCTCAGTGCCGTGGCATGGTGCTGAGGGCACAGCCTGGGACATGGGGGCCAGGCGTTGCCCTTGGTGCTGTGGGACGGTGCTGTGGGCACACCCTGGGATGAAGGGGCTATGCATTGCTGACTCTGAGCCCAGTCATGCTGTGTGTGTGTGTGTGTGTGTGTGTGTGTGTGTGTGTGTGTGTGTGTGTGTGTGTTGAGGGGGGACGGGGGACAGTGGGATGGGACATTTTGTGCT